ATTTCCCTGAACCTTGTTTTTAGAATAAGCAACCTGTGGCTTCACTCCTGTGGTCATCTCCTTGATGGCTGCTCCATCCCGAAGTCTGCTTAGAATCTCAAGATCAGCACTCATGCCCAACTTAATAGCAGGAGAAAAAAGAGCGTTCAGGCAAGTCAACAGGAAAGGAGTGGTTACAGATGTGGAAGGAAAATAAGGGAAAAGCAGTACAACATTTCCTTTAGTTTTCTGATGCATGTGCAAACCACCATGTTGCATAAGCAAATGGCAATGCTACTGAGAAGCAAAAGCTGAAGAGTTGGCAGGAATGTATAGTTTATTATAAAAAGAAAACAGAACATAACAAAGCAAATGGATAATGTAAATGAACTTTGGCATCAATGCAAAACTGCTTACGTAAACAGCTGATTATTAGAGTTTTCCATAGTCGATCCTATTGAAACATGTTGTAGTTTTGCAGCATTTTCTCAGTTGGGCTGCAAATGAAAAGTGTTTCTGATACCACCCACTGTGTTATAACTATAATCTTAACCTTTTCATGCACATGACACACACTTTAAAACACAAAGGAGTATCTGGCTCCGAGCCAGCCAGTTTTGGCCTCCAAGGCTATGGGGATTACATGCAAATTGGTGACAGCTTGATCAACTTCCTCTCTTAGGAGAAAGTGAGATAGGGGGCCCTTTTGAAAAGGGAAAACATCCAGTGAACTACTTGAGAAATGCTAAGTTAATTCAATAAACACTTATTGAGGAACTACTATGTACAATGTGCAACAAAAAAATAATGTTTTTGCTGAATTGGAGATTACTCTCAACAGGGTTATTACTCCCCATACTTTTTTTTTTTTGAGGGGGGGGAGGAGTTGAGGAGGAAAGGTCTCTGGTGAATCTTTATAGACTCCTTCTCAGAATAATGTTTTTAAACATGTGAAACTAAGTTCACAAAATTTCAAAAGAAACCAATTATATTGAAACAGTCATCAAAAAAAGCTGTAAATTAATGATAATGTAATATAATGTCCCTCTTTATGGATACTTTAAATAACAAGATGTGTTGTAGGTAGTTAGACAGACATGAATAGAGCAAGGACGATGGGCCAGGTACAGAAGGTCATCAGGATAGAAAACCCCAGATGCCTAGCAATGGGCAATCAATTGTAGGGTAGGACCTCACTCCCAGGCTGGCGTTTGGTCTAACCCCTCCACTCCCCGCCCCCCAGTAATAGGCCCTAGGAAGCCCTTTTCTTGCAGGAATCTTCCTACAATGGGCCTCTAGTAAATGCATAAATAAGTGGAATAACAAATTCATGCTTCTCTCTCTCTCTCTCTCTCTCTCTCTCTCTCTCTCTCTCTAAGCAATAAATTAAAAATTTTAAAAGAACTTCTGTGTGTGTGCACACAGAGAGGGTAGAATGTTAGAACAATAAATTACCTAAATAATTAAAATATGAGGCAGAATAGGGTAAGTGATCTAGAATTGGAGCAGCAAAGCCCTGTAGCGATTCAATATGGAGAGGAAATTAGAAAAGGCTTAAAAAAGAGGTAGAGAGGAAGAAGAAAAAAAAAGTACGGAAGACAGGCATTTTAAGGTCATCCTTTCCTTCAATCCACCTCCTCTCCAGCTCATTAAGTTGACTAAAGCTGGTTTATCTTTGGAACTACGTAGCTTTAGGTGGGGTATGCTTTAAAGCAGTTTTTAATCTTGTTTGTTCTCAGGATCCCTATGCGCTTTCACAAGTTACTAAGTGTCCAAAGAGCTTTTATTTGTGTGGGATATATATACACATTTATTGTACTAGAAATTAAAATTGAGAAATTTAAAAACATATATCAATTAATTAAATAAAAATCCAGTATGTGTTTATATAAACAGCATATTTTTGTGTGAAACATATATTTTTTAAAACAATAAAAATATTAGGAAGGATACATTGTCTATATTTTTGCAAAACTCTTTAATCTCTGGCTTAATAGAACAGGTGGACTCTTATCTGCTTTTGCAATTTTTTTCATTTTAATTTCTTTATTGATTGAGGTATTACATATTTTTTAATATACTTTATTGATTTTTTTTACAGAGAGGAAAGGAGAAGGATAGAGAGTTAGAAACATCGATGAGAGAGAAACATGGATCAGCTGCCTCTTGAACACTCCCTACTGGTATTTGCCCGCAACCAAGGTACATGCCCTTAACCAGAATCGAACCTGGGACCTTTGAGTCCTCAGGCCGATGCTCTATCCACTGAGTCAAACCGGTTAGGGTGAGATATTACATATTTGTCCTCATCCCCCATTACTTTCCCAAGGCTCCTCCCCAACTCATGCCCTCACTCCCCCGTTGTCTTTGTTCCCTGGTTAGGCTTATATGCACGCATACAAGTCCTTTGGTTGATTTCTCTCCCTTGTTTTATATAACCTCTGGAAAACTTCACTGTATTCTTCTGAAAGAATGAGAATAGGCAAATAATTTCTTAGTATCATTGTGAACTAGTTTTGACCTTGAAGACCCTCAGGGCACACTTTGAGAACTGTCGATTTTTTTCTTTTTTGTTTTATAATTTGAATTTTTTTCAGCTACAGAAAAAGAATAATTCTATTACTAGAAATAAATGGTACAAAAAATGTCAAATGTGTGTGTGTGTTGGGTAGATCTTGTCCCTCCAGATATCCAGCTGTCCCTTCACCTTTATCCATCTGTTCAGTGACCTATATGAATATCAACAGGCTCCAGTTAGGTTTGGCCAATGAGAAGCACTTGTGGGAGAATAGAGGGAGGGAGCAGAGTGAGGTTTGAGTATTGATTTCCTACTTAATGAAGGCTCCCTATATGTTCTGTTGTATTCTCAATATCTAGAAAAGTATTCAATGGGTGGTGTGTGTGTGTGTGTGTGTGTGTGTGTGTGTGTGTGTGTGTTTTAAAGCAGTTGAATAATAATATGCAATTATTAGTGCACCTAAATGGTTGGATTTTATGTTATTATAGTTTTGAGGTCAACTAAGGGAAAGTGAGAAGGAAATCAAGGAGACCAAGCAGCTTCTATGATGCCCTTCTGAGATATTCTCAAGACAAGAGTCCTCAAATGTGTCTGCTTTTATGCTCTATATGGTTTTTTTTTTTTGGGGGGGGGGGGGGGAAATTAACCTGACAGTACCTTGTAGTCTAATTGCTGGAGGAATCATGTCCAGTTCCTCTACCTGCCTATTGAATCATTCACTCTAGACTCATCCTGTATGTGTGTGAAGCCATCCTCGGTAAACCTATCTACAGGTAGGGTCCTTTATGTCGTCACCAACCTTGCACGTTTCAATTATAGCACCTATCATCCTGTATTGGGATGGCCTAACTTATTTTTGTATCTCCACCTCTGCGTACAGTGCTTGGCAAATAGGAGACGCTAAGTAACTGGGATGAACGAATGACTATCAAAGATGGGCTGAAAGTTTTCAAACTCAGTGTTGATTGAGAAATTAAACACGGAAATGTCAAGGTCTAAATGAAGTGCGGGCTTAGATGTAATAAAAACTACCACCACCACCACCACCACCACCACAGAATTCTCCTGAAGGGATCACCTATCCCATTGTCACACGTCGCCTTTTGGGCCCTCCTGATACCCCAATTTCCCGCTCCCTAACTCAATTCTCTTCCCTTTCTGGGGACAGGTCAGGCAGGTATCACAGCTAGGCGGCCCTGATTGGTCCGTGATGATTTCATTGTTAGGGCACATCCGGGCTTTTCCTCTCCCCCGCAACACCTCCCCCAGAACCCAGCCTTCCGAGGCTCCCCCTCACGGGTGCGCCCCACCCGCTGGCTGGAGCAAAACAGCCGCCACTCCCCAGACCGCTTCTTGCCCTCGTCTGCGCCACCCCTCCCCGACTCCGCGTCTAAGAAAGGCGTTTAGGACAGCCAATGAGGGCCCAGCAGACTTTTTTAGCCAATCAGCAGCCGACCCTCTGCAATCCCGGGCGGGACTAGGCCTCCATACCTATAATTGGCCAGCCCGTTGGCTTCCTATATGGCGCTAGTTTTATTCGAGGCTTAGAGGTAAAAAAAACACACAGAGGGGCATGGTCCCCGTAGAATTCAATGGATCCGCACGGACCCAATGGGTTTGACCGTTTTCGAAGACTAGCCAATCGCTTCCCGGGTACTTCCCCCGCCTTGTGCGCGTTCATTTTAAAAAAAGCCGGTGTGACGGACTTGGAAATTGGTTCAGTGACGGACACACAGAGAAAGCCAATGACGGAGGGATCGGGCCACCGTCTCGACCAATAAGAAAAGGGAGTCGCTCTGTCTCGGCTTTGCGAGGCGGAGCGCAGGTGGGTGCCTTTTGATTGACGGCGGTTTCTACTTATGGCTGGCAAAGGTGGGTTGGACCCTGAGGTCCGGGAGGTATAGCAGAGGCGGGGCTTGAAGAAAGTCAATGGTAATACAAGGGTTGGGTCTCACTCAGTGGGCGGTGTTTGATGGATAGTTGACCTTGCCAATTGAAGGTGGGCCCCGATACCCAATGGAAATGTTGTAGGCGGGGAAAACTCCGTCCCGAGGTACAAGGGGCAGCCCGAGTGGACGGTAGGGCGGTGATTGACGGCCTTCTCATCCAACCGAGGACAGCGAGAGGCCGCGCGGCGTCCCAAGAGGACGGGACTGGGGGCGGGGCCCGCCTAGGGGCGGGGAAGAGCCCGAGGAGGGGAGGGGGGTGGTAGAAGGAGCGGAGCGGCTGCTGCTCAATGGCGGAAAAGCCGCCGGTGCTCTGACCGCCTCGTCCCCCTGGCAGTTGCGGGGGAGTTTCCTGCCGGCGCGGTTGGAGTCTCTGTTTTCTCAGGGTTTGGTGGTTGGAAGATGCTCCAGAGAGACGAGGCTGCGGCGGAGGAGGTGGCGGCGGCCGAGTCGGCAGCGGCGCTGGGGTGGAGAAAAGGCGGCAGCAGCGGCGGCGGCGGCGGCGTGCGGGGCCCGACGACGGTGTAAACAGCCCCGGAGTTGTCGGAGGCGGTGGCCGAGACCCCGAGAGGGGGGAAGCGGCGGCTGGAGCCAGGGCGCGCCTCCGTGGGAAGCCTGGGCTTGGAGCGGCGGGGCTCTGCGGCGGCGTGAGCGGACGCCCTAGACCTCGCCTTCCTTCTTGGCTTCAGGTAAGGCCGCTCGGCGTCCTGCGCCAGGGGGGTCTCGCTCGAGGGCACGGCCGAGGCCCAGGACCGTTTTCGGGGTGTCGCTGAGCTCCGGCGGCGGCCTCTGCCCGCCAAGCCCTCGAGTCTCTTCCTGCGTCGCGGAGCCGAGGGCAGCGGCACGCCGGCCCTGGCTCCCGGGGAAGGCTCCTGGGTAGGCCCCTTCGCCAGCCGCCGCCTCCGCGCCCCGCCGAGGCAGCGAGAGGAGGCTTGGGGCAGGGCATTCTCCTTTGCTCCGATGCCTCGTTCGTCAAGTGCTTGCTTGCCCCTGTCCTCTGCTTCAGGCTGCGAACATCCCCAGTGAAAGCACGGGGGCAGCCCCAGGCCCTAACCTCATCCCTTCCTGGCATATGCCTATCTGAAAACACTACCTTTTCCCGTCGGGTTCCTCATCAGCTCCTGCCCTACTTTGCGCCCCACTTCACTTCCTTGTTAAATTTTCTCTCCCCCCCCCCCCCCCTTTCTGTCCCTAAGGTCTCACCATCTTCTTCCCCTTAATGTCTTGACATCGTTTCTCTTTCTCTTCTCTGCAGACTCCGGGGTTTCTCTTCCCCGCCTCCCCCCCGCAATCCTTTTCGGATGTCATTCTCTTTTGAACCAGTGAAGTTCTTAAATGAAATTTCTATCGTCTGTACTCCTATCCAGCAGAGGCCCCTTATGAGTACACTCGCCAGCTCTATGGGGAAGATCAGGTTTTAAAAATATATATATAGCTGAGCCTAACACCCCTAAAAAAAAAAAAAATATATATATATATATATATATATATTCAAATGAAGACTGTGAAAGCAACACAGAAGTAATATTTAAAATGAGGGGCTCAATGACTGCTGAAAATCCTTATTTTTTTTTTTTTTTTTTTTTTAGTTACATGACCTCTAATGTCAGATTTAGCAGAATTAGAACATTCGCCCATCTTATCTGGCAAAAATGCTTCTTAAACGTTTGATAGTGGCTCAGACTCATCAGTCTTCAAGTTGGCTTAAAAAGCAACTCGAAAACTTCAAAAACAAGACCTTGTAAGAACAGCTCGGTAGGTGTTGTGATGATGTCACAGTTAAAAGACCTTTTAAAATAGGCACCACATGTTGAATGTATCAAAATAAAGTTGGCAGGAGTCTTGTAAAAGGATTATTTAGGAATTTAAGTAGTCTTAGTGTTATATAGCTATTTTGGGAAAAACATTCTTTTTCTTTTAACAAACGTTTACAGCTCCTGTGATGTGAGAGTAACAGGTTTATTGTGGGATTAACACAGGAACTCATTTTATTTGAGCTACTGTAATTGTTCAGGGTAGAAAATATAAGTATGTTCTAGGAGATGGAGAAACGTGCCATGGACACTGAATGTTAATAGACATTATTTCATTTACTTACTTTGTTGTGCAAGAGCAGAGTTCCTATTATTGGCCTACTTTTAAATAGAGCATTTCTAAGTAAATAATGAGGCAAGTTATTCTAATTATTATAGTCCTTTCCAAATGTACAAGTTTTAAAAAAAATAGTTGAAGTTATACTGGTTAAATGGTAATTTTTTAAAGTTTATTTTTTAGGCTTCCTGAATATACAAATGTCTTAGTAGAACTTTTAAAAGAATGTAGAATAGAATTTTTTTTTTTAGTCAACAGATTTTCTTTCTGGAATAATCCTAAATTTTACTGAGCAACTTCTCTCAATATCTTCTTTGTCTCTTTTAATGCTTGTTGTTTGTGTTTTCTCCTCTTCATTTATTTTTTCCTTTCATAACATCTTATCACAGTTTCTGCAGTGTTTTTTATGTTGCAGTATCAGCATGGAGTAGTATTTTTATTTGATCTTTCATACTAATTAGCCAAGATCTATCCAGTTTCTTGTACATTAACCTTTGGATGTGTTCACGTTGTGATAATTCCCTTAGAGGTGAACAGCCGAGCTTTTAACACCTGTTTTCTTAATACTGGGTGTCTTATTTCTTTGAAGACTCCAGGAATAAGTGAAAGTCTTTTCAGTTTATCTGACAGTCATGTCACTGAATACTATTTTATGTTAGTAATCCACATATTGTAATTACCAAATTCCTTAAGATTACATCATTTGAAGGAATGGTGTAGTGTCTAGCTATTTCTAAGAACACCTGATTCACAAGTTGACATGATCAGGAAGAGTGACACCTGTTGAAAGTTTATTTTCCTTCTAGAAGCCCAGAGCATGAAATTCATGCACTTGGGGGTGGGTGTCCCTCAGCCCAGTCTGCACCCTCTCCAATTTGGGACCCCTCAGGGGAATGTCTGACTGCCACAGGATCGGGCCTAAACAACTGGCATTCGGACATCCTTCTCAATCTGGGACTGCTGGCTCCCAGCTGCTCACCTGTCTGCCAGCCTGATCACCCCCAAACCATCCCCCTGCCAGCCTGATCAATGCCTAACTGCTCTTCTGCAGGCCCAGTAACCCCCAACTGCCCTCCCCTGCCAGCCTGGTCCCACCTAACTGCCCTTCCCTGCAGGCCTGTCCCCCCCCCCCCCCCCCCACTGCCTTCCCCTTCTGGCCATCTTGTGGTGGCCATCTTGTGTGAAGGTGTGAGGGTCAATTTGTATATTAGCTCTTTATTATATAAGGTAATGTACATTTTTAATGGAGTCTTAAATTAAAATTCAATGCTGATGGTTTTTTGGCACTTTTGGAAGAGTAGAATTTGCCATGGGATAGTGAGCAATTGTGGAGATTCATTAAAAACTGGTTGAGCCAATAGTGGAAGGATTTCAAACATACCCTTGTAAATGGGTTAAAAACACTTATTGTACTTCCACATTCATTGTTTAGTTTCAAATATTATATTATATGAATATTTGTATATTATATATAATAAGTATTTTATGATATTACCTAGCATAGAGAATAATTCTAACTCTACAGTGGTCCTTCTAATATATTAATAAGGTGAATAAAATTAACTTATTAAAATATAACAAGGTATTTTGTCTCTTGTGAAATATGCCATTTACAAATTCACAGATTTTCATTTGGGAAACAGCTGGTAGTATCTGAGTTATACTAACGTGTGTTTTTTTAATTTCAAAAAAATTCATTAAAATAATATTTAGCTTAAAATATAAAATTACAGTTAGTAGTAAGAGAATTTCGGGGGAATATGGTTATTTCTGGATTTTCAGTGATGATTCTTTTTTTTTTCCCTTAAGTGAACTAATTTTAGAATTTAGAATGAAATAATACTGATTTATATTTGTTTTTATAGAATGTGTATACATGTGTGTGCGTATGTGTATATATACATCAGCAGAATTGTGGGTTAAGATAACGAATTATTTGGGCATACTGAGATAAGATTTTTATTATACAAACTGTAAACTCTGGAATTATAACCTAAAATACTTCCCATCTCACTATCCTGTATGCATATTAAACAGTGAAAGTAAAGTAGGGTAGATTTTGGAAATACTGGTTTTTGTAGTGTTTGCTTGATTGCCGTAAAATTTATGATAGCTTATTAGTTTCTAGTATCTGCTCTAACAAATATGGGTAAAGAAAAGGTACATAATCTGTCTTTTTTTTTTTTTTTTTTTGTTATCATATGTTTACATAAAATAACTTTTGCCCTGGCCAGTTAGTTCGGTTGGTTACAGTGTCATTCCAATCCACCAAAGTTGTGGGTTTGATCCCTGGCACATACAAGAGTCAACCAATGGCCTCACAGGTGTGGCTCAGTAGTTGAGTGTCAACCTATGAACCAGGAGGTCACAGATCAGTTCCCAGATAGAGCGCATGCCTGGGCTGTAGACTGGATCCCCATTTGGGGGGCCATGCAGGAGGCAGCCAATCAATGATTCTCATCATTAATGTTTTTATTTCTTCCTCTCCCTTTCTCTTTGAAATCAATAAAAATATATTAAAGAAAATTAACCAGTGAATGCATAGATAAGTGGAACAACAAATCATTGTTTCTCCATTTCTCTCTCAAATCAATTAGAAGATAAAAACAATATTTGTTCTTTTTGATTAATTTAAGTGTACTAGTATCTAATCAACTATAATATTTTAAGTTAATGTATTTAGATGTTTAACGGTTTAATATTTAAAGCTCAGTTTACCAATTAAAGCTTTTATAACCTACTTAATAGTTTATTATTCACTTGCTAATAAAATGGATTCAAAATTTTCTTTTGGGGTATGTTGAAATTCAAGATTATATTTATTAGCTTTAAATTGATTTGTTTCTTAAAAATTAAATATCTTAAAGTTTAGAAATGTAACACTAGTTGGAAACTTGTTTTGTATCCTTTGAACAAAAGATCAACTGTGATGTGATAGTTAATGGAGAGAGAGAGACAAACCTTTGCAGACTTCTATTGGATAGTAAGGAACTTATCTTTACTCTTAGTTATTTGACCAATTATTGGTGATATAGGAAGGATAAGACCTGTTGGTAGTATTGCTGTGCTCTCTATGTAGAATGTCCTCCAGTTAAAAATAGGTTGTGAATGAAAAGTGCATTTGTATGATAGAAACATGAAAAACCATTTCCTTCAGGAACACTTTCATAATGTGGTTATCAGATATATAATCAAATTTATGATGAAAAACAAGTGAATAATTTTGTTTATAGATAGTACATATAGTAGTCTCCCCATATCCACGGTTTTGCTTTTCCCAATTTCAATTAAATGGAAAATAACAAACAATATTAAATGGAAAATTCCAGAAATAATTCATAAGTTTTAAATTACACACTATTATGAGTAGGGTGATTAAAGCTGGACCCATTTCCTGGTACTATGTAAATTACCCTTTTATCCATCATATCCACATAACTTCATTTCATCCCAAAGGCACTTTATCATTTCACATCACATTAGAAGGATGAACTCAGTACAATATGATAGTTTGAGAAAGAGATCACACTCATAACTTTTATTACAGTATATTGTTATAATTGTTCAATTGTTAATCTCTTACTGTGCGTAATTTATA